TACACACGCACTTTCACTCTCTAAAACTAAAAGTACACTCACACTCCTTTCTCTCTCACACACTACACACCGACGATGCATTCTCTCTCTGTGTCCGCTACTTCTACAAACCGACGAGATATTCCCCGCTGTCAAAGATTCCTCCACCGGCCCCCTTTTCCCCTTTCTCTTCGAATCCCTAAAATTTCAATCCAATCCCCCTCCTAATTCCAATCTACCCCCTCTGAAAATCACTCAATTCCTGTCCTTTTTTTTCAATCCAATTTCGTAAAAGATTGTATTTTTATCAACAAACAGTGTATGGGCTGTGTGGGTTCCAAGCCCGAGGAGTCACCGGCGGTGGCGCTCTGCAGGCAGAGATGCACCTTCCTCGACGAAGCGATCCACCAACGCTACGCTCTTGCGGAAGCTCATTTAGCTTATTGTCACTCTCTCAAGAACGTCGGTGTTTCGCTCCATCGTTTCTTTGATATCCACTCCTCTGCCGCCGTGCACGGTCACGGTGGTGATACTCCTCCGTCTCCGGTGCTTAACCTTCCTCCTCAAAGGAAGGGAGAGTCTTCCAAGCCGCCAGTTACTGCTCCTGTTCATCATCATCAGCATCAGCATCATGATCATTCGCATTCAAATTCTGGCTCATCTCACCTTCACTTTCACTCTGATTCCGATGAAGATTCCGAGGACGATGACGGTTCCATTCATTTACACTCAGTAAATGGGGGGTCTCCGTTGCATCAACATCGGCATCGGCCGTACGAAAATGTAACATATAATGATCAGCATGATACAGCAAGTTCTTCTTATCCTCCCCCCTTTTATCCCCCTTCTGGTTATCCTCCTTCCGGTTATCTTCCGTCAGGTTTTCCTCCATCAAACTACCCCCCTGCCGGTTACCCACCGTCAGGTTATCCCCCTGCCGGTTATCCTCCATCAGGCTACCCACCGGCCGGTTATCCCCCGCCAGATTATCCACCGGCGGGTTATGCTCCGGAAGGTTATGCTCCTGGTCGTTACACGATGAATTTTATGAGAAAGCAACCGACTCCGTCTGTAGTGTACCAGCAACGGCCAATGAGTCCGGAGACAATACATTACGGTGAAGCTTCTTCCTCATCATCCTATTATAACAACAATTATAATTATCAAAACCCTAATTCTTCCTCATATAACAACAATTACTCTAACTACGGTGAGTTTTTCGGTTCTTCTTCTCGACAACCTCCATATGGTGGCGTCTCATCGCCTCCGCCGATTTTACAGGCAGAGGCATCATCTTCTAACTCAAAACCTTCTCCACCTCCTCCCCCTCCCCCGCCACCAAGCTCCTCGTGGGACTTCTTAAATCCATTCGAGACCTTCGAGAGCTACTATCCTCCCTATACACCAAGTCGCGATTCAAGAGAGGTGAGAGAAGAAGAGGGGATTCCTGATTTGGAAGACGAAGATTACTTCCAGGAAGAAGTCGTCAAGGAAATACATTCTTCAATCCCAAAGTTCGTTGATAGTGGAGGCGGTGGCGGTGGAAATGGGGGTAAAGGTGATTCAAAAAAGGCGGCTGTCGTTGATGAAGAGAGTGAGAAAAGTTCCGGTGGTGAGTTGCATTACAGAAGTGGCCCAACTGTGGTAGAAGACGAACCAGTGGAATTTGAAGTTCATGTGGTTGATAAAGAAGAAACATCTAGATCGGAAAAACCTCTTGCTGACTTTCAAAACGATTCCGAAGTGGTGAGAGAAATTCAAGTTCAATTTGATCGAGCTTCAGAATCGGGCAATGAGTTAGCAAAGATGCTTGAGGTCGGAAAAGTTCCACACAACAGAAAACACGCCGCCTATCAGGTTCCCTCAAAGATGTTGAACGTCTTTTCACCATCATTAGCAATCGCAGCTTCTAAATACACATCTGCAGAAACCACCGATCCTTCCAACTTAGATGCTGGTATAGATTTAAGAACAAAGTCTCAACATCTTTCATCCACCTTACATAAGCTCTATCTCTGGGAAAAGAAATTGTTTGAGGAAGTTAAGGTATGTTATCATTCTTATCTTCAATCTTCCAAGGATGCTGTTCTTAAATCTTGAATCTTGAATCTTGAATCTTTTCATGATATATTATGATGTAGATTGAAGAGAAAATGAGATTACTCCATGAAGAAAAGAACAGAAGACTAAAACGTTTAGATGAAAAAGGTGCAGAACCACACAAAGTTGATGCTACAAGAACTTTAGTCAGAAGTCTTTCAACCAAAATCAGAATTGCAATTCAAGTTGTGGATAAGATCTCTGAGCAAATAAACCGATTAAGAGATGATGAGTTATGGCCACAGCTAAATGACTTCATTCAAGGGTATGTAATAATATACTAAAAATTCCGTTTTTTTATATGATTTATGATTAATCAATCTCTGTTTTTAGGTTAACAAGAATGTGGAGGTCAATGCTGGATTGTCACCATAGTCAAACTCGAGCCATTGGAGCTGCTAAGAGACTAGACGCGATTGCATCTCACAAACATTTCAGTGATGATAGTCTTGAAGCCACATTACAACTTGAACATGAACTTTTAAACTGGACACTTAGATTCTCTTGTTGGTTTGGAGCACAAAAGGGATTTGTGACATCATTAAACAACTGGCTTCTAAAATGTCTTCTATACATCCCTGAAGAAACAGCAGATGGACCTGTTCCATTTTCCCCTTCAAGAATCGGAGCTCCAACCGTGTTCATAATATGCAACCAATGGGCACAAGCAATGGAAAGGATTTCTGATAAGGAAGTGGTGGAATCCATGAGGGATTTTGTGAGGATTGTGCTTCAGTTATGGGAAAGGGATAAGCAGGAAATGAGAAGGAGACTTGTGATGCATAAGAATATGGAGAGGAAAGTTAAGGATTTGGAGAGGGAGGATGTGAAGATTCATAAGGAGTTGCAGGTTCTTGATAAAAGAATTGTTGTTGGTAATTCTGGAGAAGATAATGGGATTTCAGCTGTTTATCAGAGTGAGACTAGTAAAAGTGTTGGTGCTCAAACGAATTTGAGACTTGTTTTTGAGGCTATGGAGAGGTTTACAGCTGCTTCTTTGAAAGCTTGTGAGGAGTTGTTGCAACGTATTGAAGAAGATAAGATTTCTCGTGAACAAGAGAAAGTTTTGTAGACAATATGAAGAAAAAAGAAAAGGAAGTTAAACTGAAAAATGGAAGTAAGGAGCTCGAGTTCATCTGAATGAATCAGATGTCTGACATGATTCAGTCAAGACACACAACTTGTCTTGAATCAGGTGCATGATCTTTTTTGGGTTATATATGCAAGAAATAGCAATGTACTTTTGTTTATTTGTTATTGAAAATTTCATCCAGTTATAGCAATGTCATCCAAATGAAAAAGCAAATTTCATTGCTATAATTGGATATTTTTCAAAGGAATAATGTTAAAAGACAAATTTGAAACTATTTTACTATAGTTGGGTTGATTTTTTATAGTAAAATGCCTCGATAAGAAAATAATGAAAGTGAAATTGTATTTCGTATTCATACATGCACAAAACTAGAGTTAGGTTGAGTTCATGCTAAAACTTATTGATATGGACAATTTCGTCTATACATAAATTTTGAAGCATTTATGACAACCATTTTTTTTTCTAAATTATTTAATTTATATTTGATTTGGTCAGGTTTCTACTGCAGCGGTCCAACATTCCGTCTAATTGAAGACTGGAAACCAACATTCCAACCGAAGTGAAAAGACGGAATCAAGATTCAAGAGTCGTCTTTGTACGCAACATTTATGATGATGCCTTTTGGCACGTGACTTGGTTTTTTGATTGAAAGCTAAATTTAGCTTTTTTAAAAGGCCTCAATTTTGTAAGTGGATGTAGTTTGTTTATGTTATTAAAATAGATACAGTTAGGTAGTAGTAGATTAGCAATAGCCTACAATTTTTTGTTTATTAATATCGTTGGTGTAAATAGAATAGCCATTTTGTTTATCGTCTATTCTTTGAGTTGTTATTATATCATTAGGAGAACAAAAGAACTTCAACTTATGTAAAAGCATTATCTTCTGTTCAGCCTACTAACATTTTTAATGTACTTGACATAAAGTTATTTTGTCTTATATATACATTTCAAACGATGATTATATAAATTTTCAATAACGATCGTTGTTGTATAATAATTGAAGAAATTAAGTATCACCTTCATAGAAGTTGCCTTTTTGTATGTTTTACACGACTCTATCTCCTGCCATTTTCCAATCAGATACACCAAGTGCATTAATGAGTCAAATTTGGGCTTATACTAAAACGCCTCCACCAAGTAAAATGAAAAACTTCAATTATGCAATGAACCCATGCTGACGTCCACAACCTTTTTATTAATGGGAAATTGACTTATCAGATAATTATATTTTCATTTTGTTTATATATGTGAAAATTTATTTTTCTGTACACATCTAGGTAATGGACTTTTTGTAAGTGTTCACATATGGCCATTATGACTGGTTGTAGCAAATTACAACCGGTCATAATGGTAATTATCCTGATAAGTCAATTTGTTGTTTTTTTTAAACCACGTTTATAGCAGGGCAATATAAATTTATTCCGTTGAAGGCACCCAAGTTTAGCAGTAAGGGTGGCAATTCTCAACCCATGCCGTAACCCGACACGAAAATAAACGAATTTGGGTTGAGATTTCTGACCCGCCAATCCATTTATTTTATGGGCTGGGTTGGGTTGTCTGTTTGGGTTCGCGGGTCAACCCGTCAGTCCGACTATATATATTATATCTGTTTGGAAACATTTTTTTTTCAATGTGTTGCTTATTAAGTTATTATGTTAGATTGACATGTGGCTGTTCATTTCATTTCTAGTCAATGTAAAATGCTAATTATTATTAATTTAGAGAAGTATATAATTCGTATAAAATTAACATGTGAAAAGTTATCCAAAAATAACCCGTCGACTCTTTGACCCGAAATCGACCGACTAACCCACAAACTCATATATTTAAACGGGTTATGTGGGTTGGGTTGGGTTGATGTTTCCAACCCGCCAACCCAAACCCAACTAAATTGTCAGACCTATTTAGCAGCAGGTTAAAGTGGTTATCAAAATTGAGTAGTTTAGATTCACAGTAAACGTAAAATGATCAAAATATAAAGGTTTTTATGATTTGTTTTGATTCGTGTTTTTTTCCTATATCGACCACTTTGACATCTATCGTTTCGTTGGTCCTCATTTTTTTTTTTTTCGGGTAATTCGATTCTGTTAAGCTGAATAAGAATGCCCCTATTTAATTTGATTTTGGTTAAATTTTCACTTCTTTGAATGAGACGAACGAGTCTATTAGATTCATACTTTTATATTTTATTTTTATGGTATAATATTTAACTTTATTTTCAATTTATGTATGTAGTTTCTAAACTTCTCATATGGTTTTTGTGGTTAAAGTTACAAAAACAATATGTTATTAATAAGTTAAAGTTATCAAGATTGATAGAACAATAGATGTGAAATTTACCTTACAGTTTATATAATATCAAAAAAATGTGTTTTAATACGATGGTTAATGTCATAAAATGACAACCAATAACACACACTTTGTTCTTTAGATTACTTATTGTTTAATTATATTTATTATGTCAATAAAAAATTTCTGATTCTTTTTACACCATTGAAATGCATTTGAACGGACATTTATACCTAATTGGATGTTACAGTGGATGCAATATCAACGCCAAATTGATCTATATAAATAAATTGTCACATTGAATGCCATAGTAGAGGATTTAATACTAGATTATCCACTTGAAATCTATCACAATGGTGGATTGAGAACAAAAAAAAAAAATTAAGCAATTCATTAATACAATTAAAAGATAAGTGACTTAAAGAGCAAATTGGATATTATTGATTGTCATTTTATGATATTAACTCAACACTACTAAACAAATCTTACAATTGTGAATATTTTGATTTATAGTATTTAAACCAAATTGCTAACATATAGTTTGTATATTGTCCGTACAATATAATGTCTTAGCAGCTCTAAACATTACCTGACATTTGAGGCAAAGTTATATAGACCATGTCTACACAACACTTCTGCAAAAAAAAAAAAAAAAGTATTTGAATGGCATGCCACGAGAATATTCAAATCCCAAGTTAAGCCACCTTAATAGTGATTACAATTAAGCCACCTTAATAGTGATACATAATGCTTCTCAACTATTGAAAACTTTTCCCAATCAATGAGTCAAATCATATTTTTATCTACATTAACAGGTCTTACTCATCATCAAAAGTGTTAAATTCAGAAAACCATTTAATTTATATGAAATTGGGCACTTTATTTTGTTAAATTTTATTATAAAAAAAAAACCACTCCATAAGTTTTGACCTTTGAAAAATGACATTTTATTAGGTTTGCATGTTATCAACTTATCATGATATGGAAGAAAAAGGATGACATGGACATAAAGTGGTATGTCGATGGCTGGATGATCACATGGTTTATTATTATTTATTTATTTATTATTATTATTATTAATTCCTTTTTACAATCCCTAAAAACACACCATCAGTTAGCTGTCAGCATACATGAAACTTTTCGGGGAAAATTTGTCAAGTAACCAAAAAAGAAGGGGGGATTGAAAAATATGACCAACAAAAATGGATTTTCATAAAATGATCAAGGGTGCGTTTAGTTGCGGAAAAATGGGTCGTTTTCCAGAAAAATTTTCCAAGAAAAATGAGAATTTTGAAAACGCATTTAGTTCGTTTATTTTTCTAAATTTTTCACGGAAAATGAAAATTTTCCGTTTTCTAAAATTACAAAGAAGTTGGAAATTTTTGGAAAACCAATAATTATTGTTTTCATATTTTTCTAATTCCAAAATTTTTCTAAAATATAAACACACTCTCACTCTACTACCACCTCTACACAACCCACCATATAACACCCACACCCACCCACTTACAAGCTCACCCCTACAAACATACACAAAAACACACACCTACCCCAACCCCCACCCATAACCCCCCCTCCCCCAACACACACAAACACACCCACCCACCCACAAACACACACACAAACACAAGGTCACCCCCACCCCCACAAACACACAAACACACACACACACATAAACAAACACCCACCCCCCTACCCCCAAACACACACACACACACACATACACACACACCTATCCTCACCCCCACCCAATCCCCCACAAACACACACACACACACACACACAAACCCACATCTACCCCACCCCCACAAACACAAACACACACAAACCCACCCCTACCCCCAAAAACACACACACCCACCCACCCACACACACACCCTCACCCCCCACCCCACAAACACACACACATACACCACAAACCCACATCTAACCCACCCCCACAAACACAAACACACACAAACCCACCCCCACCCCCAAAAACACACACACACACACGCACCCACACCCCCACAAACACACATACCCACACACCCACAAACGCACAAAGACACACCTACCCACCCAACACCACTACCACAATCACCGACCTACCATTACCATCACCACCACCACTACCCCATCAGCACCACCACCACCACCACCGTCGCCACCGCCATCACCACCACTGCCACGATTGCCGCCACCACCACCGCCTGTCATCACCACCACCGCCGCCGACCCGCTACCACCGCCGCCCCCACCCCCACCCTACCACCGCAACTGTTTTCTAAAAATGAAAACCAATAGAAAAATACACATCTAAACACGTTTTCTAATTTTCTAAAACTGAAAATGAAAAATGAATAAGTTTTAACTAAACGCGTTTTCTAAATTTTTCAATGAAAAATGAAAACGGAAAATGAAAACTGAAAAGGGAAAACGAAAAATAGAAAATAAAAACTATTTTTCCGTAACTAAACGCAACCCAAGGTTTCCGCAGAGCCCGTCTCTACGGAAACCTTGGGTGGGGTTTAGTTACGGAAAAATAGTTTTTATTTTTTGTTTTTCATTTTCCCTTTTCTATTTTCGTTTTCCGTTTTCAGTTTTCATTGGAAAATTTAGAAAACACGTTTAGTTAAAACTCATTCATTTTTCATTTTCAGTTTTAGAAAATTAGAAAACTTGTTTATATGTGTATTTTTCTATCGGTTTTCATTTTTAGAAAACGGTAGCTGTGGTAGGGTGGGCGTGGGGACGATAGCGATGGTGGGGGCAGCGGCGGGGGGCAGTGGTGGTGTCAATGATGGCGGCGGTGGCGGTGGCAGCGGGGTGGCGGCGGTGGTGGTGATAACAGGCGGTGGTGGTGGCGGCGGGAATTATGGTGGTGGCGGCGGGAATTGTGGCAGTGGTGGTGATGACGGTGGTGGTGCTGGTGATGGGGTAGTGGTGGTGGTGATGGTAGATCGGTGATTGTGGTAGTTGTGTCGTGTGTGTGTGTGTGGGGGGGGTGGGGGGTGTGTGTATGGGTGTGGGTGTGAGTTTGTGTATGTGTGTGTGTGTGTGTGTGTTTGTAGGGGTGTGGGTGGGGGTGGGTGTGTGTTTGTAGGGTGGGGGTAAGTGTGGGTTTGTGTGTGTGTGTGTATTTGTGGGGGTTGGTGTATGTGTGTGTGTGTGTTTGTGGGGGGTGTGGGTAGGGGTGTGTGTGTGTGTGTTTGTGGGCGTGGACTTCGGAGTGGGTGGGTGTGGGTAGGTAGGGGTGTAGTGGGTTGGGTGTGTTAAGGCGATAGTAGGTAGAGGTGGATGAGGTGAGGGTGGGTGTGTGTTTATATTTTAGAAAAAAATTGGGATTAGAAAAATATGAAAAACATTGATTATCGGTTTTCCAAAAATTTCAACTTCTTTGTAATTTTTAGAAAACGGAAAATTTAGAAAAATAGACGAACTAAACGCGTTTTCAAAATTCTCATTTTTCTTGAAATTTTTTTTCTGAAAACGGCCAATTTTTCCGCAACTAAACGCACCATTGTTCAT